GTAGAATTATCCTTTTATTTTACATGCATTAATTTGAAACTGCTGCGATGTTCGTTTGCACAACCGTTTTTGATTTATAATTATTTAATCAGTCCGAAACTTTAAAATGTTTTGACTGTCAAAATAATGTGAAATTAATCATTTTTCGATAAAATTAATGTAAATGCGAAGTACAATTATTATTTGCAAGAAAGATTCTTTGAAGTCCTGTCGCGTAGTACTTAGCTAACCTATAGTTATTCATAAACGTAAAAAAAAAAAAAGAGAAATGGAAGTATACAATTTGTATTAAATGAACTATTAATCAAAGCGCTCGTGTCATTCGCTCAGTGAACAACACAATCGACCAATACTAAGCTGATTATTGACGACATCGGTTGCATCGAAGGGGTAATAAATCTAAGAGAAGAAAAAAAGAAAAGAAAAATACTAAATGAAAAACACTAAAATATAACTGAACTGGAGCAATGAAGAAGACCCCTCGAATAATATCATTAAGATCTACCCTTCGCATGTGACATAAATTAATCATACCGAGAGGGTGGTCGTCCGAAGCATAAAACACTTAACGCGAAGGAAATTAATGGCGAAGGTCTTGCGTTAAATGTATCACCTTGTGTAACGCAGTGTGTTGTACAATATTATATGTATGTATATTATATTTGTGTACTGGTATGAATTATAAATTATTTTTAGAATCACGTTTACCATATAATAACGTATAATTATTTTGCTATGTACTAGTGAGTACTAGCGCGTTGAACTTGTTTTTAGCGAGGAGCAAAAATGTATACAAAATTACGGCCTATCTGTGTTTTCCTAATGATATAATATACATATTCTATCATAACCGTTCCACAACAACCGTCTGTGACGTCGGACTGATGTTTTCGATGAACTAATTTACTACTAATTTTCCGAACAATGATTGGCAGGTCTTTTGTTGTTGAGTGTAGGACACAGGTTAACACAAATAATATATCTTGGTGGCTAGGTATTTCTTGGCAGGAGGATTACCCACCGCCAAAAGCTTTGAATGACCAATCGCTCTGATATAATACCTCAAACCTTACTTGAACAAAAAAACAAAAATCTCAATACCTTCAATTATTTGTATTATTGAACATATATTGTTCAATATTCGGGCATACTGGAGACGCGTGTTTCGGCGTATCGGTATTATCGATCATTTAGGCGTAATCGAAGCCGACGTTATAGAATGTTCTAGAACTTTTAGATCATTCTATTATCACACCTGACCCGTATGTACACCGATTGAGTCTGAGTCAGTCTGCGACGCAATTCGGCGTAGGCAAGTGGTCTACCGTCGGCTTGTATTTTTTTTTTTTTTGGTCTGGATCCGTTTTCTTTCGACGCCAAATCGTCGTGATCTATTGTGTTGTTGATTGGCATCAAAGTGGTCGCTCGTGCTTCGGTCTAAATTAATTTTTCTATATATGAGTACTCGTATATATATATTATAATATTTCACTGGCCGTCGCACTTGTATTATTATTTAATATTATTTATTTTATATTATCCTTATTGCAAACCAAGAATTTGTGCGGTAAATTAAATTAAAATAAGTACTACCCCCTTTTGCGTTACCAATATGACGGAATCGTTGATTTTTACCTTTGGATCAACGTTATGGTCTCGTCTACACATATTATTGCACTTTTTACTACGTAAAAAAATAACAAATAGTTGTCTTATAAAATTTAGAGAACTTAATAATAAAAATAATAATAATATTCAATTCTGGGCAAGTTAATAATATTTTTAACTCAGTTAAGTTAATTAAATTGAGTTCATGTTCAATTAAGTTAACAATTAAGTTAATACACATGAGAATTAAATCAATTAAGTTAAAAATTAAATTAAAAAATATTGTTAACTTAACGAGTAAAATAATTAATATATATATTAACAATTTACAACAGATCTCATCAACACTAATGATAATGAAAATTCAGAAAAAACTTATAAGACTCTAATTAGAATAGAAAAATATACATATCTTTATTGGGATTGTTTTTAAGCACTCAAATTTATGATAATTTATGTACCGTTTGTTTTTATTCATTTTTCATACAAATCACATATGATAAATATAATAAAAAAAAATTATTCTTTTTAATAATAATAGTATGAAAACTAAAAATAATTACTGAAGCTAAAAGTGTAACTATAAAATTATATAGGCAATAAATATATACAGTTGATACAAATATATATATATATATATATTAAATTTATAATATTATTAAAATCTAAACAAATTTAACAATACAATTGTCAGGTTAATTAAAATACCTATTGAATATCAATAAAAGAGTCATCTGAAAATGTAGATCAGCTATTAAATGTCTTCTCTTATTTAATAATATCTTACATTATGGAATAATTCTAATAATAATAGAGTATAATTATTATTAAGAATGACTTAGTCAATGATATGTAATATATGTACCATTTTTGTAATATAGATTTATGGCCAAATTTCATAACAATAGTAATGTAATTCATGGGTGGCATGGCTACTTTTACTCAATAGTCTGAAAACAGTTGATTACTTTTGTGGTGGGACCCGTATTAATTATAAATACCGAGATAAATATTATGGTCTCATCAAAAAATTCTTCGAAATTTTTATTTTTATATTTTTCTAAATTTCATTAACATCCAATGCAGTATTTTACAAAAATATTTTTCTGGTCTTGAAAATCAAAATTAACGTAATTTGGATAAATAAAAAAAATAATACTTTAATTTCTAGTTAATTTGTAAGGAAATTAGTTAAGTTAATAAGTTAAGTTAATTTATCGGTAATGAAATAAGTTAAGGTAATTTAACTTTTATTTTAACTTTTAACTTATTAACTCGTTAATGCCCAGGTTTGATAATGTATATAAACTTATAAACAATAAATTGATAACCGAAAAAAAAATTATATAATGAGAATAAATAAAAACTCATTTGTTTATAAACAAATAAGAAATGTAAAAACTGATTTCTTTTGTGAAAGGATAAAAAACAATGTCCATCGGAATCCTAACATAAACGTATATCACACTCAATCCATCTCATATGGATTCTAATGCCGGTTCTGGCATAATGGGTATTCACATTTAGTTGAGTTTCTAAGGTTCTTTAATTACCAGCCCTAACAGTAAAATCAAAAATAAATAATATAATAATAAATGAAAATGGTAGACCCTGAAGTCACACGACCAAAGATATAATAAAAAATATGTTACCACACAACAGTGGCACAATTAATGCGATTCGATTAAACAGTAAAACGACACGGTTAGCCCTACAGCGGCGCAGCTAAAGATTTGCAAAATATATGAAAATAAACACCGGCCCGTCGGCCGCTAATAACAATAATAACAATCGATGGTGCACCAACCCTACCTTGCGCAGTTACAATGTGCTGCGAAACCGGGAATCCGAAATATAATACAACAAATTAACGGAAAGCAACAAGTAATACCGCTAGGGGCTGAAACCGAACCCAAAAGAACCGGCTGTGGAACCCAAGAACCCTTAAAATATTGGGAACCGGAACCGAATTTTTACCTATTCAAAGAACCCAAACCAAACCGAAAACCTCATTTTAAAATTAAAAATATCGGATGTAACAAATATTATTAATTATTTTTTTATTCTAAAAATTTCAAACCATAAATAAATTTCTGAGATATAATTTTTTTTAAATTTTTATTTTAATTTTTAATATTATGTGCTTGCCGAGAACCCTATAATACCAGAACCTGAACTCGAACCCATACCTTTTAGTAAAATAATTGAGAAACGGAACCGTAAAAACTTAAAAGTACCAGTCCCTGGATCCCGCACACTGCACCACGAGGAACTCGCTACTATACCGCAGCAGCTGGACCCAAATTTCTGGTAACGAAATCGACGGAAATGGCAAATGTTTAAACCAATGACCGATTCGCGAAACGACTAGAAAAACGTATTACAAACCAGGTGGCTGCGAACAGAAACCCGAACGTTGCACGATGAAGGTCGAAAACGCGATCGGCATCAGCTACGAAGGCTACTGGCCAGCGGACACCGTTCCGACGATAAAACGTTTCACCACGTACGAATCGAACACACGACAGCTTAAAAACCTTTTGTGACACCGAAAGCATGAAGTTTACATTTATACTAAGAATATGACCGGAAGTAAACGAAGACACGAAATAACGGTCGTTTTCGCGCTGTGACAATTGCAATCGCGAGACTGTCGAGTCACCCGCGGAGGCATATGATCGGTACTCCCAAAAGCGCAACACATCGCTACTAATGATGAAAAAGTAATGACTAATAACCATGACAAATATACATTGCAAAATGTTGACGTACAGGTGCACAATTAACACGTTTACGGTAAAAACAGTTTGAGTTGATCGAAATACTCTCTCCCGTTCAAAGATGCCGCACACGCCACAGCCATCTCAGATCACACGGAACGTACGAAAACGAAAATCGCCATCGCCGTAGCTATAAATAGTACCCGCATTACAACGTGAGTAAATACGTAGCTGATTTCTGCAGCATTTGCATAACAAAAATATCAAACACGTCAACTGTACGTATTATTATCAAAGTTTATATTAATTTATTGGATATTTATGTTGTATTTCTAGCATTAATGATTTCGAAAAAATATTGAAATCATTCTAGTTCAAAACTATGAACGAGGAAACGATTAAACTGACAAATATGAATATATATATTATCATTTTGAACGATTTCCAACAATTGAGTTGGGTTTCCGATTTTAACAATAAAAATTACGTAGGTTACTGACCACGTAGGATTTGGGAATTTACTATTAAATACATAAACGTTTACAATTATTTTAGGGGTGTTGTAATATGCATATATTATTAAGAAATAATAATACGCATATTCCTGAGTCATATAAGGAAAAACGTACCAAGAATAACTATTGCACATATAAACTTTAATGGGCGCCACGCGCGAATTACAAACAACCACAAACAACATCATCATTCGAATAAGACAATCAAGGCCAAGGGCAACCACGTGATGAAACATCATTTGGATATGAAGATCAAGACCAAGGACAGCCACGTGTCGAAAACAATACAATTAAAACAGAATCAAACAGAGTATATAAAGGCTCCGTTTCACCACCAACGGCAGACGTGTCCAGCTATCAGACCAAGCCCTTCTGAGTTTCGTCTTCGATATTGTTAGCGCGCAAATTTATAATTTATATCTGTGTCTGTATTTGTATCTGTATTTATTAAAGTGTTTACAAGTGTTTAAATTAATCATTGAATCAATTTACCCTGATCCATCAACATCATTACGATAGGTACCTGTTTTTATTGGGTACCACGTAACAGTGTATACAGGGCCATATTAATGTATAGGCATTATAGGCACTGTGCCTAGGCATTACGAACATATTTGAGCTTGCAAAAATATGTGGGTATGTTTTTTTTTAAAAGTTATGTTTTTTTTTTTATTCTTTTAAGTTATATACAATCAGTACTGTATTAGCCTGTACACATTTTCACAGGTAAAATATTACGTATAAACATTGTAACCATGTACGACACATAAAGTGTCTACATAGGCAACTGCACCATATATGCCACAATACTTCCGCCACTAATCTTTAAAGTTTACGGCGCACCCCTCATTTGAACATCAACCTCATTTGTGCTCGTGGTAAATGGCGCTAATCGTCTCCACCCGATTGCAGAGTTCCGCATTATAAGTTAATATTAATAGTTAATACTAATTAATATGCACACGTTAAGTAACATCGATAGCATATTGATATTGTCCATAGCGCCACCGTTAAAAATACATCGAAAACCATCGAGCCATGTTGTACGACGCTGACTTATTATCCGAAAAATAACATAAAAGGGCAAGTGAACACGCTGCAAAATAATTGCTCCCAATTTACTGTGCAGTATGGTCTCAATCAATCCTTTTTCTAACCTGCACGCGTGTGACCATACTCACTGGTATTCCCGACTATCCACTGTAGTGAATAATCGAGTACAAGCCCGTACAACGCCGCTCAGTTATATTATATCTTGCCAGTAGTATGTTTTGGTCGGTTCTGTATCCCCCGCTAATCCCACGGATCCCAATACCCTGGTTCTATCCATTCCACCGCACGCCTCCTCTCTACCCCCCATATGTAACCCCTACATCCCCTCCTATACCCCTCCCAATCCCTCATCAACCCCCTCCACATACATCCCCTCCGGTTCCTCCCCTATATTTCCCCTCACCCGTTCCCTCCACCAATCCCTCGTGCATCCCCTCCAAGCCCTCTATTGACTCCTCCTACTACCTTGACTCCTCCCTCTCCTCCACGTATTCCCTCGATTCCTCCCCCTCCCTTAACTCATCCCTATTATGCCCCTTCTCCATATATCCACCACCCACTTACTCCGCTACTCATTCACCATCATACATCTCGAGTACGTAACCTATGTATATCTCCCCCTATCCTTTCCGCCATTCATCTCGTGTATACGACTGGTCCCCTATCACCCCCCCTCCCCCGATGTCATACCAACAGCTCCATGCCGCGCCCGGAATGTTTGATCGGGGGGGGGGAACTTTAACCATCCATGGTATCTACGTTTTATCAATATTATTATTATCGATAGCCCGACCGTCGTGTGTCACATCCGTACGTACACATTTATCCCGCTGCTGCATTACTTAGCCCGATCATTACGCAATGCATAATATTTATAACATATCATGATAGCTATTAACGCTTTAAAAGGTATGAAGAACAGAACGAGTAAAACTATTCCTAATAACTACGTTAATCACCTGTAGTAGTAATATATAACAACTTGATATTTCTGTAACACCTTGTTGTTATTAGATATATATGAGTTATCTTTCAAACAAAAGTCATTAGGAAAAGACAATTTCCATTAGATATTTACCATACATTTTATATTTTATTTAATATATATATTAATATATATAATATAAAATAAATATATATTATTATATATTTTATAGCTAGTAGATGGGGTAGATGTATCATATATAAGAGAGCTAATTTCACTCAAAGGAAACATACTGTTCTTCAAGCTCTTGAAAACCGTATATTGAGACATGTAAAATCTCACGAACAAATTAAATTTACTTGTGGTGAATGCGTGGAAATTTTCAATCGTCGTGATTACCTTGTAAATCACGTGTTGAAAAAACATGGTATGTATTTTATTGAATGTTATCTAGATATAAAATTAGTGACTTATACTTACGAATATCGATAAATAAATTAAACGAATAACCGATCCCACCTTAAATTAAAATAATCATAATTCCACGATACCCTAGAATATATTTCATTATTATAATATTTATATTAATAACGTCTATTTCCATAAATATGCTACAGTAATATGAATATAAAATTTTTTAGCGCATGCAATTAAATATTAAGGAATAAATAATTTAATATTAAATATATATTTATTAATAAATTTATATTATAATATATTACGCATTTAATACCTAGTATAGATTATAAATCATAAGAACAATCTTTTATTCTATAATTCATCCTTATTAGGTTTTGTTAAATATGGTACTGAATATAATTCGGTTATGGGTATTGTGGCCGGACAGTAGCAGCAGTAGCAGCAGCAGCAGTCATTAAGTGAGTAGTAATTATTATATTATTAAAGTGTACTGAGGGTCGATAATAATAATAATTATTATTTTTATAAGGTTCGGGTGTCATAGATAGTGTAGCGTCCACGTCAAATGTGAATCATATAATTCCACTGCAAACCCACACACCTCCAGCTCCGTCAGTTAAACGCACTAAAATCAACTCAGCGAGTAACATTGTAAAGTTTAAAAAAGCCCGCATTGGTATGGTTAATACGTCGGGTTTTTTCCAACTCGACTTTTGGTTTGATAGGACTGTAGTATGGTATTATAGGGGGAATACCGAGAACTGCGTGAGTTATCCGACGTTTTTAGACTTGATAAAACTCGAGTTGATTGAAAGAATCAATTATTGCTTGCGTGTTAACCCTATAAAATATAATTTGAAGTTGGAGGCTGTATATGTGCATAGGGAATTACCAGCCGAGGATAGAGCTTTTAAAACCGTGACAAGAGAAGTGTACATCCACAGTGACGTGAGTATTATGGTCGATGAGGACTTTGCGATACTCATGTCGGAGGAAGATAGGTATATTAAAAAGGGGTCGGGCTTCGCCCTATCCAGTATCGATGGCTTACTGTTAGGTGTCTATGAACATATCCCTCTTGGTGGGTCTTCGTATATTCCACTCCTGGAAAACATCACGGAAAAAAAGCCTTCATTAATCCTATAAATATTGACAATTATTGTTTCAAGTGGGCTATTCTGGCTAAACACGTTCTAGTAGGCAACCATAATCGAGTAGGTCAAAATTACTATAATGAAAAGCGATTTTTCAGATCTGTCCTCACCGACACCTTTTTCAGAAATCCATATATTTGAACGACAGAATAAGGGTGTGTCGGTAAACGTATATGGGCTGAAACCCAGTAAGGGGTTAAAGGTGGGTAAGGATGATAAGGAGAGGAAGTATGGTAAGGGGGAAAAAGTAGGTAAGACGAGTGTAGTGTACTCGATCAGATTTGTGGAGAACGATAAAGCGGAACATTTCGGCCTTCTCGTGATTGAAGGCTCGGAACGGATGCACTTTACCTACATTTCTAATTTTTCACGTTTGGTACGAAGCCAAAAAACCTTTCACGAAAGTAAGCTTTTTATATGCAAAAGATGTTTCACTTCATTCGATGAGCGGGTCAAAAAAAAAAATAAATTCTGTGGTAATGAGGCTCTCCAACAACACATGAGGCTATGCGGACCAAATAAACCGATTTTACCAGGAATGCCGGTGGAGGGGGAAGTGTTCAGGTTTAACGGGTGGGCTAACATGCAGCGTTATCCGTTTGTGATATACGATGATTTTGAAGCTCTGCTCGAAAAACAGGCGGAGCGGGTGGGAGCGAGTACTGACGGGATACATGTACATCATCCAATGAGCTACGGGTACTTTGTCAAGGCGTCGGTAGATGTACCCGTAGAATTGTTGGATAAATATGACATACCGCAGATGCCTGTCGTATATCGAGGGTCGGATTCGCGTAAAGAGGTGGCCAAACACTTTATCGCCAGTGTGACCGCGCTCGCTACCAGGTTGTATGGTCTACTGAAGGCGACTAATGTGCCGATTTTGATGAGTGTGGATGAAATACGTGTGCATAACGCGAAAAGTGTATGCGATATGTGTAAATTAGCGTTCACCGAGTCCGTTTGCAAAGTCGCCGACCACTGCTATCTGTCGGGACGGTTGAGACATACGCTCTGCTCGCCGTGCAACCTTAAACTCGTCACACCCAAGTTTGTACCGTGCTTCCTTAACAACCTTCTGAAATATGACGCGCATTTTATCGTAACCAACCTCTGTTACGATAAGGAGCCAATAAAGGTGATCCCGAACACTAAGGAGAACTATATCTCGTTCTCTAAACGCGTCAAACCCAATTTTAGCGTGAGGTTCTTGAACTCGTGTCGATTTATGGCCTCGAGCCTTGCCGAGTTGGCCGGGAACCTCCTTAGGAACCCCGATGACTTTGATAAATTTCGGGAGACCACCAAAGAGTTCCAGCCCACCGACATGCCTCTCGTCATGCAAAAGGATGTGTTTTCGTACGAGTATTCTGTATTCTGATAAATGGTCGAGATTCGAGGAGACCGTCATGCCACCGAAACGTTAGTTTTACAGTATGTTATACGAGAAGCACGTTAGTGATGAGGACTATGTGCACGCGATTGAGGTGTGGAGCCATTTCAACTGCGCTACCCTCAGCGACTACAGCGACCTATACCTAAAGGTGGACGTTCTACTTCTGACCGACGTGATGGAGAATTTCCGAGACCTCTGCATGTCCACGTACAACCTTAACCTCGTGTATTATTATACAACACCGGGGTTTACGTTCGACGCTATGCTAAGGTATACGGGCGTTTCACTGGAATTACTAACGGATTACGATATGGTGTTATTCGTGGAACAAGGTATCAGAGGGGGGGAGGGTTGGTTCAGGTAAGTGAGCGATACTGTCGGGCCAACTACCCGAAAACACCGGGGTACAATGCCACGAAGCCTCCGTCATGGCTCGTCTATCAGGGCTGTAAATATACGCCATTTATTCAAATACTTATATTACTAACTTTGAACCATTCCGAGTAACAACTTGTACGGGTACGCCATGGAGAAATACATGCCTTACGGGAGGGTTCAGGTGGTACGAGGGGGATTTGAATCGCTCCTGGAGTTGCTGAACGGTATGACCGAAAAATCCGACATTGGGCATATCTACGAGGTCGATATCACTTAACCCGACAACCTACATGACGCGCATAATGATCTGCTTTTCCTATCCCGGAATGCCATACCACCGGGCTCGAAATTTAATAAATTATCGGCCACGTTGGAGCGGAAAGAGCGATATATTGTGCACTATCGAAATTTAAAGCAAGCTATTGCTAATGAACTGATAGTGGAAAAAGTAATATAAATAATACATGTTTTTACCTGAATTGAATCACGTGAAAAGTTTGCTGTCTATATACATATTAACTGCGGTATCGATAAATTATAGGTTCACAGGGTATTGGAATTCCGACAATCAGCTTGGCTTGCTAAATATATAAATTTAAATACCGAGATGAGAAAGAAGGCCGGCAATGAATTCGAACGTGATTTTTTCAAACTACTTAATAACGCGGTGTTCGGTAAATATTTCAGACAATTCACCATTATCATTAATCATACTACATAATATTATTATTATTCGAATTTACAGGGAAAACTATGGAATGCGTTCGAAATCGTATTTCCATGGAATTAGTTTCGTGTACACCTCGAATGCGGAAACTAATCAACAGGCTCGCGTTCAAACACGTAACCTCGTACAATGAGAATCTGGCAGCCGTATCCTTGCAAAAGAGCGACGTGCATTTCTCCAAGCCTATTTATATAGGATTCGCCGTTCTGGAAATAAGCAAGGAGTTAATGTACGACTATCATTACAATGTGATGCGGCGGCATTATAACGACTCGATTAGACTGATGTACATGGATACAAGTCAGTCTGCGGTATAGTAAATATTATTTATACTCATATACTCATTTATCTAACGTATAACGAGTGAAGACAGACGATTTCTACAAAGACCTGGTGGACAACCCCGACCTCCTCGAACGGATGGACACCTCGACAAAAATTCGAGGTCCAAACAAAAACAAAACAAAATTCGAGGTCGAAGTTATTAGACGATACTTAATTAAACTATGGAAATAATGAATATGATTACATCACTAGAGAAAATCGAAGTGCAGAAATAGAAGAGATGCACATTTTCTTGGGCTTAAATATCCATGGTTTCAATGTATTCGACAATAGTGTACAGTAATCGTCTTCAGTGAACAGTTCTCTAGTCGCTTACTATACTCTAAAACGTATCCCTTGTAACGGTACGCACCACAGAAAACGGTCCTTTTCAGGATCAACAAACCATACGTATAACCCGCCCCTGGTCGTCGGTGAACAGACAACCACACACATACCAACGATCGCAACACATACGTGAACGGAAACTATGCGGGAGATCCATAGCGGGCAACAGCCGACGATGTAATGATAAACAACAAACAGAGAGAAGGGAAAACCACGAAAAACCACGATGAGAGTCGCAACCCACAGTTGGCTACAAGCGACGATCAAAATAACAAAGAAAAACAACACGAAGCCGTATAAATCCACACGGACCCGGTGTGGATCTACACGGTGAGAATGGACTATACTCGTCGGATAGGAATACGCCCGCGAGGTATATATACGGGTATGTTTTCAAATATAATTTTATTTTTTCCTCGTCCATCTTCTCCATCATCACTACATTCATCGTTCAGTGTTGTCTCCGCGCAGACGTCAGTGAATAAACAATACAGCGACGCACTCCGAACGTAGCACCATGGGCGGCCGTAGAGCCAAAAGGAAACGGACTCCTCCAATCACGGAACCCAAAAAATTCCGCAATGGAAGCCTTCCACCGCCACCTAATGAACAAACCAACAAGAACGGACGACAGTGTTTAGCTAATATTTCTCCTTTTCGGGATGAAAAATCTTTATCAGGTGAGTCTTATTATTCTGATACTACTTCTATATCATCCTCATCCTTAAACCGAAACATAAATCTAACTTCTTCATCCGCTGTACCCAAAGTCATAATCCCTGAAGGATCTACCAAATCTACTTCAAAACCTGCTTTCCGTATTCCACCAATATTTGTGAATCAATCCTCAGATTGGTGCAAAGTTGCTCCAATCATATTTAGTAATTCATCCCTTTCACCAGAAGCCATTTCTGCTCAAGTAACCTACGACGGTTCAATTATCATTAAAACTCATGAAATCAGTCATTATAGATTAATTCAAAAAATATAATTAGAATAAAACATCGAATTTAAAACCTTTCAGCGACCTTTCATCTAAACGAATTTATGAAATGACTGACTTATTTTATATTAAAATCTCTGTCGAGACTTACAAAAAATCGGGTCCTTCTCAATGTTTTGCATGTCAACGTACTGGCCACGGCTCCTAAAATTGTACTCACCCACTTAGATGTGTTAAATGCTCAGGAAATCGTAAAGCCAGCCTATGCCCTAAAACCATTGACCAAAAGCCAACGTGTTGCAACTGTGGTGGTAACCATACGGCAAATTACCGCGGTTATCCGTACCTCGCCCAAGCCAAAAAAAATAAAAATCCAAAGCTAGAAAAAATTCCTCAGCCAAACCACACATCCCCTACAGAGCAATCAAATCATTCACAAAAAGTAGATACCACTAAAAAGGATTATGCCTTCGCAACTAAGCCAAAGAAATCCTTAAATAATGAACAGGTAATCGAACTTTTAACTGATCTCATTTCAGTCTTGTCTACATTGGATGATCCCAAATCCATGTTAATGTCCACTATAAAATCCTTCATCACCCTATTTACAAACCAACAATGATTTCAAATTTAAAAAATTGTACATTGGAACGCAAATGGCATTACAAAAATAATTAACGAACTTCGTGCATTTACTTACACTAACAAACCCGATATCATTCTACTTAATGAAACTCATCTCAAACCTAATTTAAGCCTCAAGATCCCTAATTTCATCACATATAGGAATGACCTACCGCCAATCCGTGGCTCTCCAGCCCATGGCGGTACAGCTATCTTAGTTCATCGCAAAATAGTCCACTAACCAATCAACATAAATACTGTACTTCAATCTACATCTATATTAATAAAAATCAATAACAAAACTACCCTCATCTCTTCAGTCTACAAGCCTCCGTCATCAACCCTAAATACATTTGACCTCGACTTTCTCATCAATGGTGCAGATAATATTATTATAGCAGGAGACTTAAACTCTAAACACCCACTCTGGAGTAGCTCAAGGACAAACGCCGCTGGGCTAATACTCTATAACCACCTTCTGCAAAATGACTACTCAATCATCGCTCCTGACACCCCTACACACTTTCCAAGCTCCAAAAAATACAGACCTGACGTATTAGATATTGCTATTGTTCGCACCCATCTTATAGTACACATCACAAACTTAATCGAGCTATCTTCTGATCACAATCCAATACTACTTGAATTCACTGATTCTCCTATCACAGACTCTCCTCCAACTTCAAACACCCAAATCAATTGGAAAAAATTTTATCACACACTAAATGCAGAAAAATCTAATAAGGGCCTTCTTACAAACACTACTCAAAACATTGACAATAGCATTCAATCATTCACAAATTCCATACACTCAGCTCTTGACAATAGCTCATATATTCGCAACAAAAACAATAGCCACCCAGTAATTCCCCCAGAAATTCAACAAGAAATAAACGCTAAAAACCGAATCCGCCGTGAGTGGCAAGAAACCCGTGACCCCCTGATCAAAAAATCTCTAAATGCTAAAATCAGCCTCATAAGGTTAATGCTTCAGACCCACAGAAATGATGAATGGGACAATTATCTATTTTCCCTGAACCACAACGATAACTTAATATACAAATTAAATAGATGTCTATTAAAAAAAAGACCAGCCACCCACCCACTACTTGGACCAAATGGTCTATCCTACTCTGCGGAGGAAAAAACGGAGATTATTGCAGATTCCATGGAACGTCAATTCTCTACTTTTCAAGGTCCAAACCTCCCAGAAGTAACTGAGAACATTACGACAATCAGAGGCTCTGTGCTAAATAAACCCAACCTCTTCACCACTCCAGGATCAATCCAAAAACTTATATTCAAGTTAGCAAAGAATAAAGCCCCTGGAAGAGACCAAATCACTATTATGTTAAATTATTTTATATATTTTTGTTCATACTACAAACACAGAAACAAGACAAAATTTCTAACGTTTACGAATGTTGTGGCAGCTGGAAGTTTGAAGGTACTTTAAGTTGGTAGTACTCCTTACAATATTATACATTTTAATTTCTATTATTATGAAATGTCTAGATTTATAATTATTTTTGGTTATTTGTTATTATTATTTGTTTATTGTTGCGCTTACTAATGAGTACCTAATGACTGCTGTAAACTAGGTAGAGTCTGTGATTGCTTTTTGAATTAGTTTAACATTTATTCACAAAATGGATAAATATATTATAAATAAGGCAAGTTCAAGTAAACGGACAATTCAGGAGGTAGATGATGATACTGCAGATGACGTGGTTTCCCATCAAAATATGGAAACATCCTCGGAAACGACGGAAACATCAGAGCATACGTCACATGAAACAGTAGAAACTTTACAAAAATCGTATTTATTTAATGGGCAATTCTTTTCTATTGTACATTGTGGCGGAATTAAGTTAGTAGCACAATGTAAAAACTGCTCAAAAGTAATTCTTTTAAATAAAAGTTTTATTATTGTTTCTACCTTAAAAATAAGACTTGATTTGTAGTAGATAGTAGTAAGTTACTAGCTGTAATTTATTATTCTACGCTTATATAGAACAATTAATATTAATACCTATTTTATATTTATTATTCATCCAGATCTCTCTGCTCTATTAAAAGGACATTGAATTCTGTGGCTGTGTTGGTTATGAAAATAGAACAGTTAAACATCTATTGCGAAAAATATAACTTTTCATATTATACAATTTATCTTAATTTTATCTAGATAAAATGGTTGTTTAATTATCTTTATCTAGATAAGAATTAAATTTATTTATCTCTATCTTTATATAGATAAAATATTTATTCTTTATCTTTATCTTTATCTAGATAAAAATTTAGTTATCTATTCCCAACACTGCTTATAGGCCATGGACTCGTTATTGAGTACTCTAATCAAAAAGTGCAGTATGAGAACCGTTTCGATGAGCGAACTCGTCATGGGGGAGAAGTATCAAATAGTGAAATTTGCGGAGGTCGGCACAAAATTCGGACCAGCGGTTGTGTGCACACTCAACGATGGAGATAATGGCCACATAGATGTATTCATACCCAAGATGATCACGACGAGTGCGGATGAGATCAAATCGTACAATCAACCAATCAACGGTCGGTGGAAAAATGAATCCTATCCTACACCTGATATACAAAGGGAAACTATATGTCGTGTCTTTAATGTGGAGTTCTCGAAATAAACATATTTTCTTATCATTTATACAAACTGTTTTTCATTCTATATTTATTAATTTAACGGGTAACCCCTAATGTAGAACAATAGTTCTCCTTTTTTCCTTGTACCGAGAGCTCGACTCGTCTTATCCCGGAGTACATATATACATATATTAGATCGGCCTACTCTATATTATATATAGATCACCTTCCTCGTCTCCATGAGTCGACTTATTATAATGAATATGAAATAAAAAAAAATAAATAAAAAAAAAAAAAGGTAATAATAATATAAATAATACACAGTAGTAATATTTGATAATTCGTCTTTATTGATGAACAAAGGTGTGGGAAAAAAAATAAATATTTGTACAATACATACAAGTCTTATGTGTTATTAATAAACCATTTGCGTAATATGTATGTATTTACGGACTGCATTTGACTGAGCCGCGGACATCCCCATTCTTCTAAATTGATAACCTCGATGTGCGGCACGAACTCTTGCAACCAATGATACCACTGATGAGCTTATTAGATGCAGGAGCTGTATGCTTGATCTTCTTGCGGACGGCCGCATTATCAACCATCGAACCGGCCATCTTGATTAACACTATACGTCTTTTTGAAATATCACTCACCGACATTTTATGTAAAAATAAAACTCGAATTTATAACACTCTTCACGGTAACTCTAATGTTCGATACCGTACGGTTTATGGTGTTGTACGACAAAAGTCAGAAGTGGAGTGAAGTATAGTCGTGTATTTCGACCTTATATATCTATCAAACACGCTATGTATAGCTAATCAATACGCCCGTAGGGTATAAGTTAATCACATTTACGATTTTTTCAAAACAAAATCGTTAAAATTTCTATACATACATGTAGCGGCTCATTAGTGGCCAAAGTGAATTGCATTGCATTGCATAATTGCCGGGCTAAGTACTGCAGCTGCGGCGGCGGAATAAATGTGTACGTACGGATGTGACACACGGCGGTCGGGCTATCGATAATAATAATAATAATAATAATATTGATAAGACGTAGATACCATTGATGGTGAAAGTCCCCCCCTCCCGATCAAACATTCCGGCACGGCATGGAGCTGATGGTATGATATCAGAAGGGGGGGGGGGGGGTGATAGGGGACCAGTCGTATACACGAGATGAATGGCGGAAAGGACAGGGGGAGATATACATAGGTTACGTACTCGAGATGTATGAAGGTGAATGGGTAGCGGAGTAAGTGGGGGGTGGATATATGGAGAGGAGGCATGATAGGGAGGAGTTAAGGGAGTGGGAGGATTCGAGGGAATGCGTGGAGGAGAGGGAAGCGGGGGGTGGCGAGATAGTGCTTGGAAGAGAGGGGTGATGGAGGAGTTGAGGGAGTGGGAGGAGTCAATAGAGAATGTGGTGGGGATGAATGAAGGAGTTGTAGAGTGAAACGGATGAGGGGAAATGTAGGTGAGAAAACTAAGGGAATGGATGTGGAGGGGTTGGTGGTATAGGAGGGGATGAAGGGGGAGGTATATAGGAGGGATTTATGGGGGAGTGCGGTGGAGGGGATAGGACGGGGGGTATTGGGATCCATGGGATTTGCAGGGGATATAGAACCGACCAAAATATACTACTCTTGCCAGCTAGGTCCAAAACCCCCTAAATTCGTTTGTGAACTCATCGTCAATGGACCACCGGAAGGAACCTGGATCAAGCCTACCCACGGCAAGGAGGAGTCTCGCCACAGAACCGCAGCCCCCCTCCATGACGCCGTAACTGCTTGGACGTAAAATCTCGTCGCAGTCTCCGTTTCGGTCTAGTTGTTCTTCGTTAACCACTACCCACTAGGTATTTCAATAAAACGAGATCAACCGTTGTGAGTAAATCAACAGCATCATAAATTTGTATTTATTATATGTTCATTTGTTGTATTTCACGTATACTCTTTGGGGTACTACGTGTTGTTTAACAAATATATAATGTTCATATTTATGCAATGTGTACTTAAGACTAATAAAATTCTGTTCAATTCAATCAAGTATTGCGTTCCGTTACAAAATGTACAGGCAAAAATAATTATACTACTCATATGTTGTTTTCTCAATGTTTTAGTTTTCGTAATTCATACATCAGCTATTGGGAAAAATTAATCATCTACATTATTAGTACTTGCAATTGAACACGAATCATTATAATTATTATTATTGCTCCATGAAATACATACCGAGAAAGTAATTTTTTTTCCATTTTGCATAGTTCTTTAACAACTATGCAAAATGATATGAAAAAATTGTTTTTATGGTATCTATTTGACAACTAGTTTTATAATAAAATTAATTTTTTTAAATGTTTTATCTGTTGGAATTATTAACATATAAAATTTTCTATTTGATTCTAATATTGTCAATATTTTTGTTTTTAAAAGTTTAACTTTGAGATTCAACACTTTCTCTATCAAGTAGGTTTTTCAACCATTTCAATACTAGATACTGCTCGGCCTTATTAGCACTAAAATCACTGTGCCTTCTAAGGCACTACAATAGTATTAATCCGGGGCTGGATGTATAGTCACAGAAATGTCTAAGGTCACCAGTTATCTGCATCCCTGGGGCACTGTCCCACTTTGCTCTAAGATTGCTTCGCCATTGGTTAAAATTAATTTGAACACAAAAATAACTTCTTTCGTCCATTATGATATTTTTATAACAGAACGCTGTTATGTTTGTCTTATCGGCAAAAGTGAACAAGTTAATTATTCAGTTAATTTCAGTTAATATGAATGAATGAATACAAGCTAAAAAGTGAGAAGTTAATTTAATTTTCGAATAATTAAGAAACTTGACATGTTCATTAAAAAATTAATTAACCGTAGTTAATGTTTTTTTACAGGCAGTTTTTTGAATCAATGAAGTATTTGAAGAGTATAATATGTAAATCAATACACATATATTTGAAAAATATTGAAATGCAACTAATTTATTATCAGGTGAAATGTAGAATACGTATATATGAAGTAAAGAACATGATTATTATTGTAAAATTGTCAAAAAAAATTTGTATTGTATGAACCACATTATCTGCGTTCGATAGTTAGAAATAAAAACGAATGCATTTATTTATCGGACTAATATCTTATATCGGTTTAATATACAGTGGAGACTATGATATAAATAAGTTGAAGAGTCGAATACAAATCAATGAACACACTTTTAATAAACCACTGAGCCTAATTTATCAGAACGACGGAATATTTTTACCACGCTATTTCGTTGTTACTGTTATTTCACTCAATTTTATTACATTTTTAACTGTTCTCGTTTCTTGTCGACGCTAAAAACGAAAGTTGATTTTGATTTTCTTTTGAAGTTGTAAGCTAAAAAACACAATTCCATTTCGTCCTAAGGCTTTATTTTGAAATGTCGAGTAAAAAACTTAATTCAATTTAAGAAAAAGAGAAAAAAGACTAATAAAAAGTTATCGGAATTGAATACAGTTTTTAACGTTGAAAGGATAATATTTAGTTATAAAATTATATTTGTAAATTCCAATACTTACCGTAGACTTAAAAGACTAATAAAAAGTTACCGGAATCGAATATAGTTTTCAACGTTGAAGGATATTATTAAGTTATAAAATTACATTAATTTGTAAATTCCAATACCGTAGTCCATAAAGAGATTTGTGTATATAGATAATAATAGCAATAATAATAATAATAATAATATATTGATTCGTAGCTCGGACCGGGAACGCGTTTACGGAACAAGCGAGTGTTGAGAAAATGCACCCAAGTAAAAGCAAACGTCTGTACGTTTGTACGAACCTTGTGCTGAACTATTATTTTAGCTGCCGTATTGTACAGTGGAATAAAAATTGTTGTTTTTTGTTTTTTTCAATTTTGATGGATAACCCGTGTAAGCAGTCTAACCAAATTTTAGATTTATTGCAAACGCTAAATACCATAAATTCTAAATTCTTCGAAAACCCCTACTTCGGTGTGTCACAAGATTTCGGGATTTCCTGACTTTGGTGTGACTCCACGTGATACCAGCTCCTGAAATGTCCAGAAATACTTTAATTATAGCTAGCAGTATCATCACATGACGTAGCTTGTCCGCTGCACCTGCACTGAACCGTATCGGTCCGCAGGCCGGTGCGTGTAATCGTCATCGTCGAGATCACTACCGCCCGCCTTCCACGTATTATTAATATTTATTATCATTATTACTATAATGATTAAATCTTGAGAGCGGCCGACGAATGACGAGGCCGGTCATCTGTGTTACCAACTCGTCACGAACGCACGTCAACGAAACCGGCTATGGACTAGACCACCACCATCATGCCCGGACGTAAATCGTCGTTGGGGCACAGCTTTGAGGTGAAAACGTTGTACACGCGGTAACGTCGGTAATCATGGGAC